GTACTTGTATTTCTTTATTTTCATGTTCCAAAAAAGTTTATTGTTCATTATAATGTATAGTGTATTGCACAAGTGTATAGCTTCCAAAAAGTAGATGTGCTCAAGATTTCAGTCAAAAGTCTTTTTAAAATTCCAGTTAAATACATTGTTAAAATAAAACCTGAAAGCAAAATTTGTGGCTCTGCTCCCTACCTTTTCCAGTACAGTAATAAACATACTTTTATATATGAACCAGTTGACTACAGTGTTGGTTATCAACTCACACATCATTGTATACTATGCAAAATCTTCTAGTTATAAGAAGTTCAACTGTCCCATCTATTTCAATTTTAATTTTTTGTAAAACATTTTAATAAATTGAACCATGCACACACAAGTACTACACTTAAGGCGGCATCTAATATCATATCATATACTAATATATGTAGAGGTTTCTAAATATATACATGTATTAGTAATTTTATTAAATTTTTAAGGTAATAATCTTTCCATGCATATTCTTGCACCTCTGATAGATGTAACTTACTGATATCCATTTCTTCAAAGACATTGTTTAATCCCTGAAATGCTGAACTCAATGCTAAAAGACATTTAACAGCTGTTTGCAGCAAAGATTTTAAAATTGCCTCTTACAAACTGGAATCATAGCAAAGAACAGCAACAAGCCTATAGTTACATGCAAAGGCCATCCTCAGAATACCTACATAGCAAACCCTACATTTCATGATACCAGGAAGAACAGCTATAATAAGAAATTCTCTCTTACATAGTTCATTACATGATATGCAGGTCACAAAGCAGCTAGAACATACTTAATAGGAATTGTTAGATGTATATTTTGAGAAACAGAGTTGAATTAACTTCTTTGAGATCACACAGAAGAATCCTTAATAATGGAGGGGGGAAAAAAATCCAGACCCAACCATCAGAGACAATGACTCAAGTTTTATTTAAAACTTTCCAAATGGTTTAATAACAAATAATGTCAACTTGTTACAGTCTCAAGATCTAACGCCCCATGGAGCCAGTGACAGTCTTGATCTAAATACCTTTGTGAGGTCTGCAGTCAACCTCAAGGTAAATACAGACCATTACTTTTAAGAGGCATCAGATGTCTGTTGAAAAAGGTTTTAACACAGATTTCCACTCCCACCCGCAAGTGAAACATACAGATTGACTAAAATGAATCTTCAGTGCCACTGTGCTTGATGTAACAAAGCAGAATTTTCTTCACCATGAATTAGGGGATCTTCATTTAGTAAAATTAAATTGTTATAGTAAACGTATGGATAAAGTAGTATTAACACTGGTTACAAAGGAAGCATGGTTCAACAACTGAAAGCAAATAAATACTTCCTGGCTTCAGAAATACCATCTGAGAGGGACATCATGTCAGTTACTTAGTCATCAGAAATGTAATTCAGGAAGGAAAAATAAAATTATAATATTAAAATCAGTTTTTTAATGCCTTATAAACACAGCTTTTTGTCTGACCAAGTGCATGTCCAAGGCACTTCAATCAGCCAAATTACCTCACTCTTCCAGTTTACCTACACTAGCCTGGTCACCTGAGTCAGGCACATAATCACTTAAAAAAACCACCAATCATTGGGCAACTCCAGAGCTACCCTAAACAGTAGTGAAAGTGTAGAAACTGCTGGAACTTACAACTACATGCAAGGTCTGCAGTATATTTCAAAATTTCTGTTTATTCATAAATAAAAAGATCATTTTGGAGGTAAATAGTATAAAGGTTTTAAATCAAAACTTTAAAAGCCCCAAGCCCTGTAAATACCAGGGTCTTTGTTTAAAAGTAACAAAGATATTCAGAAATAAAATAATAAATTCCCTCAAAGTGCAAAAAAAAAAAATTATTACCATTTCATTCAAGTAAAGCACCAAGAATGTTAAGTGAAGTCACTCATCTGACAACAGAAACCCAGAAGCTTAGTCTTCCTGGCAGATAAGCAAGAACTGTTTTGGGTCCCATGCAAAGCAACACAGCTTTTCTGGCTTCGGCAAATCCTCGCATAAGTCCTGGTCCTTACGTTTACTGACAGCACAGAAGCCATAACCAGTCAGCATCAGGTGGAGAAAAAGGCAAAAGGCATCCTATGGGACCTGGAGAATTATCCTAACTATTCCCCAAACCCACTGAATAAGTGCTGCTGGAACAGAAAAGATCACTACCCTCAAGTTACAGTGAATTAACTATTTTCTTTTCAGAGTCTTTTTCTACACATGCAAACCACAAATATGTAGCCACAATAAGAAAAGCTGATAGAACATCATGAGCAGGTAAGAAGCTACCTTCAAAAAAAAAACATAAGAGAATTTGGTCAAAGTCCCCAGACTTTTCGAAGTAAAAAAAGTGCAATACCCCCACATTGTGTAATAGCAAAAAATAATCAAGCACTCACTTTTTTATTTCTCGGAGGAGCATCCGAATAAGGATGGCCTGCAGTGGCTCAATCATTAATTTTCTCCACATATCAAGAGCTAGCTGTCAGGACACAATACAAGTTTACATCAATAAAAATACCAAAAAACCCCCACCCCAAAACAAAACCAATTGCCCATTCAGGATTTTAAAAAATAAATTGTTAGATACCTTCTTCTTTCTACTTTTTAAATTCTTTTGTTTGTCTCACACACACACACAATTTGTCAACATATTAATACATTATTTTATCATTTTTCTTCTAGAACATCTGACTGCATTTGGATGAAGATCACAGATCTGTACACTACCGGTGTCAGACACAGAATTTCTAGTCAGGCAGTGTCTGAATGCATGCTTCCCACACATCTAATAGGACTGATTTATTCCTTGGTTCCACTCTATCAAGGAGTCTCAGACATGTAAGAACCCTAAGCAAGTTGGTTATGAGGGCTGGTTTTGAGCATACATATAAACAAAACATCTGCACAGTAATAGGTAAGTAACATGCCTTTCTACCTGAAGTTATTTGAATGTGTGCAGACACCAGTATTTCTAAAAATGATAGCAAAATAAGCCTCAGCTGACAAAAGGAAATGTCTCTTGGCCAATTTGTCAGAGGTCAGAGTCAAAGATACAGAATCCTTATATCCAACACACAGAGAGCATCTCCAAACTAAGATGCATACAGCTTAAGCAAAGTCACTGGCAAGCTAGTATTCGACTTAAATGGAATTCAAATCACCTTCATATTAGGGATAAGTCACCCTATTCCTAATATATCATTACAGGGATCAGTCAAATGGACTCAAATATCTCATACTCTTGTGAATGAAGTAATTGCTTCCAAATCATACCATTTTTAAAAACACAACTGTAATCATTCAAAGGAGTTTTTACATGTAGGTCAAAATCAGATTTAAAGCCCAAAGGGGATAATGTGATCCCTCGTATGGGGGGGAATACCCGCACACATTTGAGACCCCTAAAAACACCTACCAGTGAGTAGTAGACTGGGAAAAAATGAAATGCCCAAAAATCAGTGAGGACAGAGGGAATATTGCTGCTAAAAAAAAAACCCACAAAACAAACAACAACCTTTGACACAACTAACAGGTCCTTAGCTTTAAAAATTAAAACATTGATCAGGTATGCCTTAACTGAAAGTAGGCATCTAGCTATCAACTAGGTATCCGACCTGACCAACTTTGTGAAATAAATCTTCCTTTTAAAGAGCAAATGAAGTTGCTCTGTCTGTCAAAGCTACTACTAAGCTGTAGTAGTAGAACAGTTAGAGGAAAACAGTTTCCCAAAGACATCAGGAACTCATCCAGCAGAGAATGCTGAAAGAGGCTAGTTCTGGAGGGAAAAAAAAAAAAAAAGACTGACATGTTTTGTGACTATGAGGTGAAGGGGATGACCTCAGGTAAGTCTATTCTCCAATGTGGTCTCTGAAATGTAGTCTCTAACGTGGTCCTTCTCACATATGATCTACCAATCTGAAACAGCTTCAAGTTGCCTGTTGGAATTTTTTTGTCAAGTGAACTACAGACAGGTCAATCCAGCAACTTGATGTATTAGTTCAAGAGACTTTTTTCTCCTTGAAGAGAGAGACTGATCTTATTTCTCCACCTCATTTGACAATACAGAACACGGCAGTTTCAACTATTTTCCAGAATCTGTTGCCCCATGATGGGGAAAAAAAACAGAAGGCACATCTTAACTACCTTCTAGCTCAGGGCTCCCATAGAGTCATTGAAAACTCAGAAGCATGAAATTGGTGATAGGAGCTCAACTCAGAAAAGCAATATCCTTCACCATGCATTCATAACATATGGACAGAAAAAAAATAAATCTTTTGCAAGTACTGGCAGACTACCTTCATCAACTGATCTCATCCTGTATTTTTCCTAGCACAACAATTACTGAATGTCTGGAACGCTTATCGGAACGATAAACTCTTTGAAGCCATGCCCATACACGTGACATACGCACCTCCGGTCTCTTGTATGTACCTACTGTTACACACCCCAGAAGAACTAAGCAAGCATGTACTCGTTTAAAATTACTGAAAAGCTCCCAAAGTTTCATTAGCACACAGGTGTGACGCTGAGACAGAAACTTCAGTACATAGAGAGTACAGTTCTGCTTCTACAAATTCTAAATACTAGGCATTATTTCTGTAATTTCATGTTGAGACTGAAGAGAACTATATATAAAATGTATTTGCTCTTGGGTAGATAAAGGACAGATCATCTCAGTCATCCAAAAGGGATAAATGGTAATTACTTCCATTCTAAAGTGATAAACAACTGAGATAAAGACTTTTGTCAAAGCCCCTAATGCAATCCAGAGAATAAAAGACAGACTCCTAAACAGGAACCATAAGAAAAGAGAAAATGCTTTCAAAACAAAGACTTGATAAATTTGGTGAATGCCTTGCAGGTCAAGAAATGTGAACTTATTTTATTTCTGGGGCAATGAATTCACCAAAGACGGTGCTACAATTTAATGCACTTAAACTACTTGAGTGTAGGACTCAAGTCTCCATTCCTTTTCAGGGCAAAGGAGTAACTGCCATAAACCTAATCCTACACCAGTAATGAACAGAGATTAACTTTACTGCCTCAAGATCCAAAATTTACGTCCCACTACTACAGACTATAAAGACATTATTTGGTAAAGAGAAATGGAAGGAGTCTTGGGGGTTGAGATAATCAAAAACCTGTTAGCAGAATTCCAGATATCATCCAGAACATCTTTGTCAAAACCAAAAGGCTGCCAGCTACAGTTTAAGAATCTTGACCTTCCCCATAACCTGCCCAAATAATGAGCTACGGATGTACCATCCCACAAAAAACTGCTGGGAAGCTTGAAGAAAAGTGTGTGTCATTGTCCTTCCACCCCATGATTCCACAAACACAAGGAAAACTGAATACTCAAAAAAAGCTGAATTATTAGGTCTGCTGTTTGTTTTTCTTTGGTAAACATATCCTAGGGCAGAAAGCTATGGACAAAAGTTGCCACTACCATCCTTTGGGTGATACCTCGGAATGGAGTAGCACACTAAAACGGGGGAAGAATTCATTAATATACCAGCATCACCCAGCCCCAGGAAAAAGCCCAGAACTATTCCCAGACTCTGAAGCAGCTGACCTAACAGTCATTTGCACAGAGCTAAGGACTACCTCTGACAATTGTGGGAAGATACTCGGCTAAATCTCAGTCTGAGGAAATAAGGCATAATGTTTACGCCATTTTGAAGACACCACAAACAGTGCAGCAATATGCACTTCCAAGCTCTGATAAGCCTTTACAGATGCCACCGATTAGCAAGCCTTGCAGACAGCACAGCAGAAGAGAAGAATTTTCTTTCCTGAATTGCCTGGACTTAAAGCATATCATGTTTCTGGTGTTTTTTTCAGTCCACTGCCAATCTGTCAGAGGATCAGCAATTTCAACTGGCAGTGCTGTCTTCATCAGCTGGGTAGCTGGGTCAGAAGCACAGAAGATGCTTCCTCCTGCATCACAATCTCTCCTTACTCTTAACTAAAGGCAGCAGAGACCTACTTAAAACAATGAAATCCAAGAGCTAGAACAGTAACCGCTGACAGGTCAAGTTCTGACATTAAGGAAAAAAAAAAACCCAACACATTTTCTCTAGCTTTCCAAACCAAAAGAGAAGAACTGTTTGCTTCCCTTTTAGAGAAAAAGGCAAATATAGAGAGGAAAGGAAAAAACAATACACCACTACAGATGATGACAGAATAAAATGAATTCTCCAGCTAGCAATGTGTATACATAAGGACACAAAGCAGACAGACAGACAAGCATTCAAATGGTAAGTTTCTATTCAACTGCATTCAGGATTGTGTTTTTGTTCTGATTCAGACTGAAGAGGCATTTCCAAATCTTCTTAAAGACATACTGAAACACTGTTTTGAAAAATTTGAAAAAAATTTTTTTTTTTAAACTGTAAAATTGTCTTTCACTTTCTTGTATTTCATGGTCACGACAGCCATGAAGCGACAGAAACGATGTATACTTCACTTCTGCGTAGCTGAAGTGCACAGAGTGGTATCTCAGAAAATAGTCCTACTGCTGACAATTTTTTTTCATCTTATAGGTATTTAAAAATGAGTCTCAGCCTCTCCAATTTAAATTAGTAACTGTGTTAACACCCTTGTGTTTGCCCCAAATTACTTTTATTTAAAAGATAAGCCCTCCCTACATGATACTTTTGTGCACAGAATGTCCACTTTTTACCAAAATCTCCGAGTTGCTACGATAGAAGCACAAAACAGCTTGCATTAGAAAATAAGATGTACAGTATCACAGAAGACTAACCTCAAAAAAAGCTGTTACACTTTGTGACATCAAGAAATAGAAGCCTAAAAACAGTACTTCAAGGGTTCAAAAAACAAAAGTACTGCTTCTTCAAAATATTTTCTAGATAGTAGTGACACTTAATAAAGCAAAGTTTTATTTGCGAAGTGGTATCTATTATCACATTTTAAACTGAAGTTCTTCAGTAGTTTTCATATTTGCTTTTTTTTTTCCCTAGGTCACTGTATTTTTCTCCATCAAAACTGTAATCTCATTCTACAAAGGGTTCAGTACTTATATCTTCTACCATATTTAACTATTCAGATCCTATGACACAGAAAAGTCAAAATTTAAAAGGACAAAGCTGAACTTGTAGCGCTTCTGAATATAGTTTATATCCACTCCCACTTTCCGAGATACCTACCTCTCCTATTTCCATCAATGGTTCATTCATATCCACCCCTCCATAACCATACTGAAGATCAGCTTCAGTCAATTTGTTCTTCTTAATAAACTGTGTGTTGAGGTACCTATAGAAATAAAGATATTCTAATCAAAGCAGGCAAAAGTTAAGCTTTTTTTTTTTTAAATAAATTTGGGATTGTGGAATGTCTTCCACTTCACAAAAGATAACCTCTTTTAACCAATGCCATTGCTATCTGTAGGAAATTCTTAAAATACAAATTACTTCAATCTAAAAGATCTTACATCATGTTAAAACAGTACAGTGTTATTAACTGACATATGAAACAGCAGCCTGATATATCACTATCAGCATTTTCTTGGTATGCAATATACTTGTGTAAGAATCCAACCTTTCAACATACACTGCCATATTATTCATACATGTATATGCAAAATAACTGCTAAATTCTAAGCAGTTGACTGGTATTAGAGTGATGATAATTTATTTATTTTTAATGATAGAAAAATCTTCCTGAGTATCAGATATTTTTAAGTAGAATGTATTTTCTTCTGCCTGTACTGTTTATTGCTTTGCATTTCTCAGACTAAAACAAAAAAATAGTGTCAATTTTTACAGGGCCGATTTTTGTCAGTTATGATCCCTTACTCAGGCCATGGTAACTAGCAAACAGCTGTATTACAAATTGTAAAGGTAAGAGAAGAATTTGCGGAAATTATTTTAATTAACAGTTAAAGAAGAAATGTTATAAATGCTTTTTTTATTTTAGTATTTAGTATTTACTATTGTATGCATAGTTTTTATAAAGAACAGAAAATGGTTTCTGCCCAAGACCTGACAAAACATCCTCAATTCTCAGTATTCCCTTAAAAGAAATACAATAACATTTTTAAACTGAACCATTCTCCTTCTCTTTCACAGATAACTGGGGGGAAAAAAAAAATCTAGTATCTTTCATAACTACACTTATAATATTTGTTATATGAAGTAATTGAGAATTTTTTTTTTTTTAATTCCGATCCAACTAGCAGTTTTGAGATGCCCAGTTTCAGACACTGAAGAGAGCCAGATTACTGAAGCGCTTTAAGAGATTCAGGCTTCAGAGGCTGCACCAGACTACTGATGTCTGAACACCTGGGCAGGATGGCAAATGACAAGTAAAGAAGAAAAGGAGGTTTCCACAGTGTGGAAACCTGTGAACTTGAAAGAATTTAGGACACCATAGAGTACAAAGAAGGGAGACTTGTGATAGTGCAGTGGTGACAAACTGGAATACAGTGGCCTAACCTACTTTCAGACTCCAGAGCCTTACAGAGTACTGTAAACCACTCTGCCACCATCAAAAACCATCATAAATTGTAAATGCAAGTCTGTGCAGAAGGCTACAGGCCCACCATTTCATATAAAACTTGTGTGGACATCCAGAATAGGTGAAACACAAGCCTTAAGCAGGCATGCTCCTTGATGGTATTTCCCGTCCCCCTCATGTGAACAAAGGCAGCAGCTGCCATTCTGCTTTTTCCTGTTAAGCTTGCTAAAAAGGAAAGCCCTATGCTCTCCTCGTTCGCACCTTCTCCCTTCCATCAGTACATGCCTTCTCAACAAATCCAGACCAGGCAACTGACCCATCTTAAAACTAATGTAGCCACAAGTAAATAAACAAGTTTAACCTAGATCAGGTACTCCTGCAAAGACCTACCTGATTCAAGCAAAAAGTGGGTGGCAAGAAGCGGGCAGGCGGAACCACTCGTGGCAAGAGCTTCACCACACTCTGCCTCAAAACCAAATTTGCCTACATTTCCTCTCCCCTTCCCCTACTTTTCCCATCAACTTCCAGAACCAAGCACAAGCAAATAACTGCAAAGGATGTGCAAACAGTATAATCTCAAATCAACTTCTCCACTGAAGTCACAAACCATTTTTCACCTTGACTAACTACTTCAAATACTTCATCTGTATTTCTTACTTTTAGAATTCAATCCATAAGGTTCATCTGTCACTTGATGTGGAGACAAGGATTGGGCATGAATTGATAATACCAGAAATTACCCACAGATTCTTGCTACTATTGAGATAAAACTTTCAGGTGAAAATTTTAAATACCTGATCACACAGCTCAGGCCCAATTACTTGAGAATGCACCTGTGCAGGCTTATGGTTTACTGTCTGATGAGGAAAATGGCAAACAAGATGAGAAAATTGAGGTTTGTTTCCTTTCATGGCATTAGCAAAGCAATATACCTTTTGGTACCCAAACCTCAAAACACACCGACCAAGCTTCCTCTCCAGAAAGAAGTTAAAAATTTGGAATTTAGAAGAGCGTTACAAGACTCATTCAAAACAAATAGCTACTTTACAGTGGAATACTGAAAGACAGTGTTCCATCTAAATAAACAATATCAGGAAAATGTCTGGTACATGAATATTTTTGTGGGCAAATTTTTCAGATATAAAGGACTTGGTAATTCAGCAAAATAAAAGGATAAGTTCTTTTACAAGGAATTTAGCAAAAAAATAAACTGCAAAAATGAATTTAACAATTAGAAGGGTAGCTTATTATTGGGACAGGTTACCTGGTAACTTTCATGTATTTGGTACTTCTAGATCAACCAAGGACAATACTCTAAGCACAGATTATTACTATTCTAGACACAGTGACCACATTCCCAAAGCAGTATTTCCACACCTCAATAGCTCACAGTGTCCTTGGGGGGACAGACTTTGCAAAGCCTTGTCAGAAGGATTAGATGTCTATTTTTTTTCTTTTAATGTTTTATTTGGTTTTAGTAGTTTGAATTACGTACTCCTGGATAAGAAACAAATATTAGTGTTGGCAAATAGACATTGTGAAATTTAGCTTGAATGTAATAAACCTAAGAGTGTACCTGTCTCAGGTCAGCTCCTGGTTATTTTCTTATGCTCTCCATGATAAACCCAAAGAATTTACCTCCTTTAAGTCTTTGTCCATCCATGATATGACACCACAAAACAACACACGTGATTATATATATTTCTAGAAGTACCATACTTTAAGCAAAAAGGGTAGATGCCCTCTATTAAGGTTTTTTCCTCCTCTGAAAGCTCTCCAAAGATAAAGAAGAAACTTTTGAGCAACCACTCTTTTCTGTCCCCCACCCCCTTTCTACACACATAGTCAGACTGCTATACTGATCCCCAAAATGGCACGAGAGTCTAGCAGAGCAGTATACAGTTCTGGTAGAACTGTATAAACCTGACCAAGTGCTGAGGAAATTGCTTTCAGAAATTTGCACCGAGAGTACCCTGATACTGATTTTCACAGGTGCTCATGGACAGAGAAATGGATAAAGATCATATGTGGCAATATCATTCACTCTTCTGATGTATAGAAGGCAATTTAAAAAAAACCTAACTAGCTAGGACTAATAATTATAGTTAGTTTTCAGAAGCATTCAGGTTGTTTTTCAAGATTTGCTTCAACCTACCACTTGCACTATTAAATTGCTTTGCAAGCTACACAATGTGTATGCAACCACATGACAGTTATAAACGGGCACATTATAATAGGAATTAGCAATTGTATGAATGTTTTCAGTAACTCCGATGTGCATTCATACGGTCAGCAGTGCTAAATCTATCCGGGGACCAGCTACGAACAGTGTTCCTCACAGGTGGATACTAAGTTACCAGTCTGTCCTGTGGAGCCGACAGTGAAGCAACCACCTCCGCGGCTGCGTTAGCAAGAGCGTTATCAGCAAGTGGAGGGAGGGGATTGTTCCCTCAGCACTTGTGAGGACATACCTGGGAATATTACAACCAGTTTTCAGTACCCAAATACAACAGATCTGGACAAATGGAAGAGCACAGAGAAAGCTCACCGAAATAGCTAGGGTGCAGAGCATGAGACATACATAAGATGAAGATAAACTCTTCTCAGAGGAGCACAGAGAAAAGACAAGAAGCAATGGACACAAGTTGCAGCACGACAAATTCCAAACAGACACACAGGAAAATTTTTTAGAATGAGAGTAATGAAGCACTAAAACAGGCTGCTCGTAAAGGCAGCAAAATCCCTGTCCTTGAAGGAGCTCAGAATTTGACTCAACATAACCTTAAGCAACCTGGTTTAACTTTGAAGCTAGCCCTACTCTGAGCATAAGGTTGAAATGGATGACCTTCAGAGGTTTGTTTGCGCCTACTTTTTCTTTTTAAAATGTTTCAATGAAAACATGCAATGGTGACTTCACAAGAGCTATACTAAAAGCAGCAGAACCACCGTGCTTTATGCAAGCAGACTGCTTTAACGTGTCTAGTAGCATACACATACAAGTGCTCAGCACTGGAAATTTTCATAATCCAGTATCTGTTCTGATTCGCTCTTAAGCACAAATGAAGTATTCACTGGTTTACAGATCTGTAAAATAGGGTTGAAGTCATCTACCACAATTTGAGGATTAGCTAATAAATGAAAGCCATTTCATTATGACAAAGCACTGCAGATATTAAAATTTTATGAATCCAACACCTGTATCAAAATGATGAGACCAATAGTAAGTATCTGATGTGGAAGTAAACCGCCCAGGGCTACCAAATACTATAGCCTAAAATGAAGGTAGTTCCTTCAGTGGAAAAAGTTTCAATAGAAAAATATCATTAATGTTAGGCTTCAAATGTTGATAGGACTTCTTGTTTGTTTAAATCTTCCCCATATTTATCGTTACATAATTAGTAAGCAAGATTAAGAGCAGTAGCTTCTTAACACTTAAAAAATGAGAAGGGGACTGGAACTAATATCAGTTTGAATTGTGTTACAGGTTACTGTGATATTATGCCTAGTATCAGAATACAAATTACTCCTATCATGACAAAACTGGCTGAAGTTTAAGTTTTAGTTTTCCCCTCTCTGATAGGGAAGGAAGATGTCTCACATAAAAGTACGAAAAGAAAGAGAACTAAGATTAGCCTAAAGAACTAAAAATTACTATACATTAATATACTAGTATGATTACAAGTGTTTAAAAAAAAGACAAAACGGAACAAAGCAAAAGCTGTACTGTGTGTGTTTAGTTTTCAGGATTTTATTATGAGCAGATTTTAAAACTTCAGCTGTTTGGTTTTTTTTTTTAAATAATTTAAATTAATTTCAATTTGCTGGATAAGAAAACCCTCCAGTTACTTGAAATAAGGGTACACAAAACAGATTTTTTACAAATACGATTACCTATGAAAACAGTTACAGCACCAGGACACTGATAAGCCCCAATGTCCAGCATTATTTTTATCTATTATGTTTATCATCAGAACTAACAAAAACAACAACTGAAGAAGTTTATTTAACAGCAAGCGTTCCTTATTCCATCAGTTTTATCATCTTGATTTAGCCAAGCATGTATGGGATTTTAGTTTTCAAACTGAATCCAAATTTGTTTTCTGAGCAAAACACACCCAGAGGGTTGGGTAAAAAAAGCAAACCAAAACCAACACCAAAGAAAGAAAACATTTTGACTGCATTGCCAGTCACATGATTGGTCTCACATTTTATAAATTTTGCTCAAAAGTGAAGTGTCTCACATAGTAGTAGTATTTCAAATATTACCTATCAGGGTAGAACGTTTAAGAAGCAGAGATGCAAGCTTATTTAAATTTTAAAGGAATCTATTTAAAACTAACATTAAGATTACTAGCTGTAAAGAGTAATTGGTTTTCACTGCTGAAGAATTACACAAATTAGATTCTGGGATACAACAGAGTCAACTAATTTATGGTACTTTTTTGAGAGCAGGCATGCAAGTAAGAAAAGAACTCCAACTGCTTTATAAAAAACAGAATATCTTCTTAAGGTCTTCAGAAGTACTTTCAGCCAAAACATTCTCTCAAGAAACAAAAAAGTGACATAATACTTAATGAAGTGTTTTCAATGCATGAAAGTCATTATGACTCTACTAATCAAGCACTGAATTATTTCTTGCCTTCATGTGAGAGGGTCTTTTAGTTCCCATTACAATGTACCTTTTTTATTATTGAAGAGAAAAATCATACTTTCACAAAGTCATACCCTTTAGAGACTTTTTAAAAAGATAGTATATGACAAAACTCAGAATTTCGACACAAAGAAAGATGTAACTTTGAGGTAAAATTACTTCCAACAGAACACCTAAAAAGTACATTTTCTGGACCAAAACACCATATGCAAAGCAGGAAGAAGAGTTAGAATGGGCAGAGCTGGCATGAAATGAATAACTTCAGAGTTTAAGAACTTGGCTTCACTGATATATGAATACCACTCTACTGAACTTACGTATATGCACAGGTTGGTTCATGTGCATAACTGTCTGGAAAAAAATGCCCTAGCTTGTTTAAAACAAAAAAATCAGGTTCACACTGCTGGAGAAGTATTTTCATTTGCTGGTTTAGGACCAGAAGCACTCAAGCGCTCAGAAAAACTGTTACACAAAGCAGAATCAGTGAGCTTCATACACATTAAATGGGATTTTTTTTTTTCCCCTGATGTCAACTCTCTGGTTAAGTCAGTGACACATTATGGAACTAAAGTTTGCAAGCCCAGGATGGACTCTGTTACATTTGTTCTCAGTCTGCTAGCGATAAATTTAATAGATTCTACAATATCATACACACATCTCCCAATGTAATAGTACAGGTCTTGGAATCCTTTGTAAATCCTCACATCATACCATCAAGTAAGTACAATATTAAGCATGCCTCATTTACCTGCTGGGTATCGCATGCATAATGGACACTAGAATGTTCAACCTACAGTCAGAGTGGAATTAAAACCCAAATTCTAGTAAATCCAAAGCCATATAGTTATAATTCTGGCAGCTCATGAATGGGTGAGTTTTATATGCTTAAGCTATGGCTAGTAGCAACGAAACACACTTGCAATTCAGGAACAGTAGAAGTACAAAAATAACCGGGGTTAGTTGTGGTTTTATTTGTAAATCTGATGAAAAAACCTGTAAAATCGATTGCCTGTATACAGTCTATTAGTTTCTGAAGTTCTCAGAAAAGAAACAAGGAGAAATTTTCACTCCCTTTCCAATCCCTGCAGTTCAAACATTCACCTGAAAAGAAAGGACCCAAAGAGCACATAGCCTTGTCTGAAAAGTTCTTCTAGAAGGGAGAGCTGTGTTTTTGCCAAGGTACATGGCTAAGCTTTGAAACAAACCATGCTGGTTCAACTGGACACTTTAGTACAATGCCATCCTTGTAGAGGAACACCTAGGATTATGAGCTACTTCACTGCAGGGTTGATTAGCACCAACGTATTTGGCACTGCAACATCAGAAACAACAGGGGTAGAATATATTAGTAATGAAAGAATAGTAGGAATCATCTTAGATAATGACTTCAGTGGTAAGGAGCAGTGCACAGAAAAAACTGTTGGAGCATTATTCCTTTTTTCTCATGTTCTGCTACCATAACTGTATTCTCTCCAAAACTGACGTGGGGCATATTCAGCTATTGCTCTCTTTAAGCAACATTCTTAGACTTAAGCTGCAGATCATTGTAATAATTCAAAACTTTAACAACTCATTTGCAAAGCTTACCTGTATAAACAGTCCATATAGTCTGCCCCTTTGCTATACTCTTCCCAGTATCTGTGATACATAACCAGTACTTGTTCTTCAGCTTCCAGAACTCTCTGAAGGAAGACACACACACACCCCCCGCTAAAATTAGTATGAAGATAGCATACATACATAGAAAGTTACAACAGGATTACCATTTTGGAATAACAATCACAGATTCAAAATTAAGACCACACCTAAGCTTTAGCCGGTCTAAAAATAACATTGTTGCAATGACCAGAAAACTAACAAATCTTCATATTAGGAAGTTTTGGTAAGCCAGCTCCAACACCTGAAGTTGTTTTATTTTGCATTTAAAAAGAACAGTCTCTATAGTGTATTATTTTCTATTCGTCTTTACAGAAGTACTTGCTCGAATAAGCATGGTTCATATTCTCACATACTGGTGGGATAACTCACTTAACTATTTCCTCACTGACACAGATCAATTTTAAATTCATGCAGCCACATGCACACTGGAGGAGTTGCCTAACTAACTGCTTAAAATCAGTATGCCTTACTGGTCAGACAAGCCCTTATACTTACCAAGAATCCTGGAATAAAACAAGTTTAACAAAGCACAGATACGTGCAAACTTAAACATGTCTTAAGTTCTGTAAATCTAGGCCCAAATCTTTTGGAATTTAAGCAAATCATCAGCCAAGAAGTTGCTGCTGAACTTCTCAAAACATATTCATATTTCAAAGGAATAAGTTCAACAATTTAAACAAATTAGTATGATTTGTGAAGGAGGATGAGATCCTAGGAATTCAACTTAATTCTCTCTAGGGTATGTAATTTTAAACTCTAGCTCAAGCAGCAAAGAAGCCTATGCAAAAATAATGTAAAAGAGGAAAGCTAGTAGACAAAACAGAATCGAGAGTGCTTTCCTCTGCAGTATGAATTTTGCAAAGGTTTTCCAACATTATTTCCAAGACAAATAGTGGATAGCCAATTTAAAAAACGGATGTATGTTTTCCGCTACTTCCCACAGCTTCTACTGTGCTGGCATCTGCCTGATTAGCCTAAGTGAGCTCATTCAGCTCACTAAATAAATGAAGAACAACTTTTTGGCTGAGTTGTCTGCCAGTTTAGCAAACTGATTTAGTCTACCAAAGCCTCAGAGGTATCCTCTCTGCAACCAGTGGAACTACCCATTAAGATACACAGCCTATCTTGTCAAATACACAGGTACCTAAGCTCAGAAAATAGCATCGAGCCGTTTAGCAGTACTATCCAGAATTTGCAATTCTTCATTCCCTATACAGACACCAAAGACAGGTGGACATCTTATTTAAATCTACTTCTCTTTTTACTGAAATACAAGGAGACGCTGTTCACCCATCCTATATATTCAACATGATGAATCATGATTCTGTTGAAATTAGGTGTCTTAGATGATGAGACAGAAGTTAATTCACAGCTATATGGGTATACAAGTATTGTTATCTGTCATAATAAATAACTTGTCATTACTTCCTCCCCTCCCAAACACTTTTGTATTTTATTTCCCATATATTTCAGAAGTTTTCTTGAGTAGAGTATATACAATCAGTTTCCAAGACACTAGAGTAGACACTTTTACACTGTAACAGAAGGCTAATGACAAAATATAGCACATTTGGAAAATGAAGACATTTTTGTAACTTGTTTGATTATAAGCATTCAACAGAAAAGAAAGAACTTACTTTTCAAGCCAACAATGAATATTTTATATAAACCATAATTGTTGGCATAAAAAAGAAAGTTCTTTCTTTTGTGTTGCACATAGACAGATATATAGATATCTGTCTACACAGTGTTGTGTGATACATGCGTTGCATATATCAGATATGTAGATATATATATTGTGTCTCTGGAACTCTGTCATCTGTGATTTAGTCTCATAAAATCTGCATACCTTCATACATACAAAACAAACAAAACCCCTCCCTAAAGTAAAAAAAGGACAAACAATACCTACATGTACATCAGTAACTGTATAGGTTACCTTGTGCAAATGGCGTACATGATTTTCCAAAAAAATTTTAGTCTCAGTATAAAGTCTCTCTCCAAGAGGTTCAGGATAGGCCACACACAAAGCATAAATGTCTCTGGGCTCAGAATCAAGGTTTGTATCTGCTTAAAGTGTAAAAACTTATCAACAAAATTTAAGATTTACAGAACCTTTTTTCCTCATACACACACATTTTAGATCTTTTTTACAGTTGAGCATAAAAGATAAAATGGATCATTTTCTGAAATTAGTGTAAGTCCCGATTTGTGAAGAATCTAAGTTTTCAGCGTCAATAATAAATTTCAAGTAGTGGAAAGCAAGGGAATGTTAGAGCTAAGATCCTGGAACTTCTGGTAGCCCCACGTTGACATGGCTTCTACCACTTATTTGCCATCTATGAATAATATATGATTATCTCAAAGTGAAGTTTCATCCAAAATTCTCCTGTATCTGCAAAGTGAAATTGAGACTCTTTTTGGATAATGGAAAGAAGCACTAACTAGGTTAAGAATGTGATCAGCCAAGTATGGAGCAGAGCAAACATGAAGTGAAGCCAACTTCAAGTTTTCCTCCCCCAAGTCCAAAACAATTTACTGCCCTTGCATACTCCCCCCAGCTCCACAGGTAAAACAATTTTGTCGGACACTGGAAATTAAGTCATCACAATGGTGGTGTGGATGCAAAACCTTTGTTTTATTTTTAACCATTATTATCATTTCAGTAACCCTGTTTAGATCACAGTCACACAAAACAGTTATATTTGCTCACTTAAATGGGCAGCAGCAAAGTGAGCAAGCAAGTGAGCAAGTTAAACCCCTTAAGGTGGTTTTGTCCCTGAAGTAGCTTGCAGAGCTACACCTTTGGTTTGTAAGGTTTCTATCAAGTTTAAAAAAAGGCACTTGGTACTTTGTCCGGACAAAGAATTTATAATTAAGAACTTTGCTTTCAGAAAAGTCAAGCAAGGATTAAGTCAAGCTTCAGGTGAACAACTGTGGGAAATAAACTAGTTCTGCAGAAATTATGTAAAACCATCATGCTTATCCACTAACTCTAGGCATTTTATAAAACCAGCCATGCTAGATATAATGATTTGCTATAGATTACTTTTTAAGGTAAGCTCTTTAATTAAGAGAAGACAAAAGATCAGCTTTCCTCTACCTTAAAAAAGCACATTCCCGTGTAAAAGGAGGTAGAAGACATAAGGACAGTTGACAAGTCACCCGCTTAGTCTACAGAACAGCCTCAAGCTTTTATCACACAGTTTTTCCCAAAAGCATGTTTCAGTTTTTATATAGAAGTACTACTCAAAACAGAGAAGATACTGATGTAGGACAACTAAATGGAAAAAGCCTTTATTTGGCAACTGGAATCTCAGAGCCTAATCAGAGTCTAATCTTGAGCACAGTTATTTCATCCATATAGATCATCTTTATCAGAATTCTCCTTGGAATGGTAAGAAGCATTAAATGGAAACCCCAACAAACAAAACAGGCAACACTCACTGCTTTGTAACAGTAGCCAGCATTACATTACATCAACTTACAAAATTATGACCAATAAAATATCAAAGCAATTAAATTAGTAGTCAAGAATGAAAGGTTTTCTTAAACAGACTGTAAAGAACAATTGGGTTTTTTTTTTTTTTACACATTCCCCCCCTGCCCCCAAACAAATTTTGTCAGTTTAAGGATGGTCCGTAGTCAAACGCATCCTCAATATCATTCAGTTCGCAAGCCTCTTCACTATGCAAATAAGGTATTTCCGAGAAAGTAAAATCCAGAATTAGAAATCTTTGTAAGCTACTCGCAAGTAAAGGGGACATGACTTTTCTCTTTAGATCCACAACTACACTATCTGAATCACCAAAACTGTTACGGATCTCTGCTGCAAGAACTACTTACTTCAAAGTTAGCAGAAACAGGCAGTCTTCACCACAACGGCACAAAAAAAATAATAACGGCAGCTTATCTAACGAAAGCAGCAAACAAATATCTCTGAATTTATCTAGCTTCTGTGCCCCAGGCTTCAGTTAGGAGTCCAGACGACCTGACTGTTGTAAACAAGTTTCTTAGTTGTAATAAACCTATTTAAGAACGAAAATAGCATATGTACTCCTTCATGAAAATGCACATCTTCCAAACATGCCTTTCCTTATTCTAGAGAACAGACAAATTTTCTTGCAAATGAAGAAAGCTGAATCTAGTATTCTTCCTTGACATATGGCACTCAAGTTTACATACCTGCTGAAATTAAACTACCAACTTAATCACAGAAGCACTTCCACAGGCACCTCACACGTCTTCCTGTATCAAGCAAATATAAAAATCAACACCAAATTCTACTTGCTGGATACTAAGTTTCTCTGGATTTCTACAAAAAAGAGCTACCACAAGTCTCAAAAACATATTACAGAGTAGCTTTGCTACAGGAAGTTCACATTCTTGCTCAGTTTGTACTAGTTTATTCATGTAACTATATCTTTCAGTCCAGAATCCAAATTTAAGTGTCATGTTCAAAATGTTGTGAATCTCTTAACAAAAAAACCAGCAACAACAACAAAAAATCTTTGAGGGGAGATGAATCATTAGTCATCACTGATATTTTACTCCATAAACTTAAAGCAAATTTTTTTCTGTGCTGCTGTCCCTTGGAAGATCAGGAAAAAGCCTTTACTGTTCAATAATTTATCTTTAATGGTGAAAGCCATCTGTCCTTCCAGTTCAGCACATAGTTTTGCAGGGTGAGAAAGGCCAAAGGAAGCTGAAGCCAAACTGCTGCTTAGGGGCCTTCACTCTGTGCTGAGAACAAGAACATCAAAAGCCTTGTGTGATTTAAGTGCTCCAGTAGTTGCTATTTGAGGGGCATTACCCAGCAATGGGAAACTGAAGCAATTCCAAACTAAGGAAAAAATAAATTACCAACAACAAGAAAATACTGTATCCAAGGCCACGAAAGCTCACAAATATTACCCTCAGGCTTAAAAAAAGCATCTAGTTAAGACCATATATTAGCAGAAGGTTTTGCACAGATCTTCTCCAGAAGACCAAAGTAGCGCTTTTGGAAAATTTCTGTGATTGTTGGTCTTCCTCTGTAACAGAATCAGAATTCATACAGCACTCGAGGACTCACAGTCAGAAAGAATCATGATCATATGAACTTTACCTACTCTTCCTGCTCTTTGGGTTGGTTCTTATGTTAAAGATACATGTTTACAAGTTTCTGGTTCATCATAGGATCCTTCTAAAATGGGGGATTAGAGGAGGGAGAACAAACATGCAGAAAAATGGAAAAAAGCAGGTGGCCATGTTGCATACTTTTAAAATAATTCTGTTTGCGGTATGGCCACCCTCCTCCCTGGGTACTGTTCACCCTATTTACTTGGTTGGTGGAAAACCCAAGACAACAACAGGAAGATCCTGGTGTTCTACCCATTCAAAATAGTTCTACTGCTAAAAGGTAGTTATCAAAGTACAGATGAACTATCACTCTCTAATCAAGCTTGATCAGCCTCTTAAAGAGCACTCCCTAGCCTTCTGAACAGTTAGAAGCAAAGTCTTAAAAGTTATGCAAAGCATTCATAATAACCAAATTATTGTAAATAATATCTCAAATAGAAAGACATAACTGTCACTCATTTACTATACAATGAAATGACTCCAGAAACATTTCTTTCTGCAGAGAACCTGAAAGGAAATCTGAAGGTCAAAGGTGGCTCAAGATGACTCACAGTTTAAATAAAGTGACATACGGTCTTTCAAGTGATCTTTTCCAGAAGATTTTAACTCTTACACAGTTGTGGTTCCCAGCCCATTGCCATTCTAGCATTTCAAGTTTGAGATAAGCTATATTTAAAGATAAGCTATGTTTAACAATAAAATTACCATCAGAGTTACAAAGAAAACATAATATTCAAGACAAACAAGTTCTGGGGAAGTAGTGAGGTAAAAATTAGTTCTAGAAGTGGAATATGCAAAGTACAGGACTCTCACCCCTAAAATACTATTAGTTTGCAGACACCATTTGATCTCAGCTGTCTCAAGCAGCACAGGAGAAAGCAAACACTTCTTAGAATACACTGCTGCAGACTGAAATCATGATTCTTTGCTGTATCTTATCCTCTGTTTCCACATCATTCTTTTGACTACAGAGAAACTACAAAGATCAAGTGGTACTATAGTCAGTAAAATAACTTGTATGAATTTCATTAAGACGTAATTCAAATCATTTGTCACCTTTTTATTGTGCTTATTAAGCAGCAAAAAAAATAGTTAATATGACATTTCCTTTAAATTCCCTGTAGATGTTTAGAAGCACATTACTCAAATTAAATTGAATTTAACAGAGAAGAAAAAGCTAACAAAGAACAAGAAGATGTCGTTTTTAAATGCCACATCTTCCTAAAATATATCATTAATACTTTAGTTTTCTTTATATATTTAAAAGCTGGAAAAAGCTTTCACACCAGCTGTATAGAACTACCAGTTTCACCAAGTTGTTGAATACTCAATGAGCAGTTTGTGTTAAAACAGACAGTTTGGTTAAAGGTAGCAGAAGTACTAAACAATCAACATTTAAGCTGGAAGTTACAAGTCACACAAGCTCCTCAGGCCATTCAGCCATAAAGAATAAGCCAAAAGGCTCTTGCCTGTGCCAAATTAGGCACGAATAGTGCCACTTTCCAATAATTAAGAGATGAACGTAAGTAAGGTCTTAAGAATGATTCTTCCAAGACTGCTTCCTGAGTCTGCTATTCATAAGCGTTCACTTTCTGATGTTCAACCAACTGGACTAAATCCCAAAGGAGGATCAACAGCAGACTTGTGTAAAAGGCCTCCACGTAAGAAGTTCTAAGTGAGACAGTGTGACAAGAGGAATCAATCCAACATCTCATTCAATTATTATTTTAGATTTAAATCTATTTTAGGTGCCCTTGTTTAAATCTTTAGAGTTTTAAGCTACAGAAGTTAACCACCTGTTAAAGACTGAAATATGCAGTTCTTAAAGACTGCTTAGAAAGAATGACTACAGCACAATTTGTCGGCACATAAGTGCACAACTAATTAATTCAAGAAGTCTGTAAATTTTGGAGTCATTTGACCTTGACTCCAAGACAAGGTGAAAAGTCATGGCCCCAGAAATTAATTACAAAGTTTTACAATGAAAGAGCTCCTTGAAGATTATTGCACCATAGAACAAGGCTCCACAAGAACTATAAGCAACTAAACTTTTCTTTTATGTATTTATAGACATGCACACACTTAAAACACAGGCACATGGGAAAGCAATTCTGAGAAACGGTAACACATTCAGAAAGAGAAGAGACTTCAGAGTCTAGCTCCTGCACACAGAATAAGCTTATGTTGTAAAAATCTATGTATAAGAAACTTCTCAGGAGGTTCTTTTTTCACCCAGACTTATTTATTGATTTGTTAATTCTTCTAAACCATTCTTCCCCCCCTATAATTAAATCAAACTCAGTCAAACTGCTGCAGAACAGCTGCAAAGCCTCCTAAAATTCTCTAATTATTCACCACACTGTAACGGGTAATGAATGCATAGACAAAGGGCACTGTATAACCAGTTAGAACAGCCACACTTCTTCTTTTAAAAGAAGTTGTTCACTGAAACTTCAATCTTGTAAAAAGATTAGATTTTACACGTAAAATGCAAACCTTTCACTGCAACAATATATGTACAGCTGTGACTTGAACAGCAAGACCATATGATCACAGCTAGAAAGAGTAATTATTTTTAAACATAGCTCAACTGTCAGGAATAGAGAGGCAATAACAGTGGAGGGAAAGGAAGAAGGCTTTTTTATAAACCCTTGCCATAGAAATGTCTAATATGGTCGTCATCAGTACACTTAGAAGTGCAAAGAAGAGGGAGATATCTTTAAACAGAACAACCTCACCACCCCCCACACCCCCAAATTTAAAGATGTGCATTCTCTGTCTTAGGTGTTTCCCCTGCTACACACACACTTAAGCATACAAGAAAAATGCATTATCAGAATAGGGCAAATTCAATGCATGTACTTTTGTGAACAGCTATAGCATAAGCTGTAAAACTCAGACCGGTTTACTTTTTATTAACGTGGTGATTTTCACATAGAAAATCGGAATTTCTATGATTTAGAATCTATAGAATAGAATCAGCAGAACTTCCCATCCCTTTCAACATATCCACTGACCCACAGGCTTAGTAACAGATACAACCTTACAACAGGCTTCTGATCCAGACACTGAAATTGTTATATAACACAGGCCTACCCCATGCTAAACACATCATACAAACACATTAAGTCAGATTTTCACTTAAAGGATACGAGAAGCGATCATTCCATGTTGCTCTTTCAACATAATCCAACATAACAACGGCTTTAATTGTTGTCAGAAGTTTGTTCCATGTTTCATCAAAGTCAACTACTCGTGGTTTCAAGGACATTGTGGGGCTTTAGTGTTAATCTGTAGAAGAATTAAACATGTCAGACAACATTGCACAATCATTAAAAAAAAATCTCCTTTGAATTTTTCAATTTAAACTTTGTACACTGTTGCACCACCATGATACAGCAACACAAAGAACACCCACCCCTGCTTCCCCACCCTCCAAAATCAAGCTCACAAGCCCTTATTTTTAACGTTATGAAACATTAATGTTACACGAATAGCCTATAACATAACACCAATTTATCTAACATCATGCCTCGTGAAGTTTATCACGTTACCAAGCTGCCCATTTAACAGTGCCATATGAAGAAAACAACTTTCCTGTAAATTTTGGTTTGTTCACTTTTACGCAAAGACTGTTTCAGCTGTATCTGAGAGACTTTGGGGCAGGAACACACTGAACATATTACCAGAGTATTTGAAATTACTACTGTCAGTTTGTAGCCTATGTTCACCTCAAGCCTTCATAAGACATTTTTGGTGTTATATTTAAAAAGCCACAAAACCCAAAAGCTTTGATCAGGATAACAAAAAGAAAACACATCTAAATACAGAGCATTATGCAGAGCTTGTGCAGCTTATTGCACTGTGCAGCAGGACAAATAGTGAATTCTTTCAAATAAGACATGGCTTGAAAATACAGAAGATGCGTTAGTAATTTTATATAAAAAATACTGGAAGAGATTTATTGAAAGAAAAACATTAAATTACTGAAATAAAACTAGGAAAAAAGTAAGGTAATTTTAAAAAAGAGGTCCCAAGAGACACAACTGTGAAGGCCTCTTCTTTGTTTCTATTTGTCTCTATCCTATGCACCTAATCTAGAAAGGACCTGATGTGTGACATTCCACGCACAAAGCCAGTCTAATTCCTGCTCAGAAACACGACATTGTAAGACTAAACAAAAAGTGGAAAGAATACTTCTATTTCCATTTTAAATAGATTGGCAAGTGACTCTTAACTTGTCTTCCCAAATTTTCAAGGTCAGAAGGGAAAAAAGAAAGCTAGTGACAAACAGACTTTTAGCACAAGAGGCACACCTCTGTAAGGGAAAGAATCAAATGCTATGCTAAAAAACTACTTAGCAACCAGCTCACTACCTTAACCGCTACTGGCTCTTAATTTTTCTCAGGCAGATTAGTTCTCTCAAACTGCAGGATATATAGCTTCTCAGTTTAAAAAAAAAACAAAAAAAACAACACAGATGCAACTTTCACACTGTACGCATACAAAATGCCACCCTGACTAACTAACCAAGCTCCTTAACTGCTTTGAATTCAGGAACCACAGAGGGTTGTTCTCCTCTACCTGCAACACAACAGCTTCCGTTTAAAATGTAATCAATGTATTACCCAACCCACATTTGCTTTGATTTCATAAAGAAACTGAGTAGCAACTAGTATCGAGGAAGTGGTATTATCCTAGGTTTTATGAACAGGAAATTTTTTTTAAGAAGAACTAAAGCTCAGTAAGTGGTGCATAAATACTTTCAGTTCAGTAGAAACATTTAAGTTGTTATATTTGCAACATGGCTATTACCACTTTTGGAAATAAAAAAAAAATCTTCAATGTCAGTAGCAGCTTACTACACAGAAAATCAGTGAGAACTGACAAAACAAGTAGATATCCATCAAAGAAAGTAAGATGAAAAACGCAAACTGATGTATGTTTCAAAGAAACATGAACCTCAGTAGAAGTAAACAACAGTAGAGCTCACTTCCAGGAGGCGGGGGGGGAAGCAGTAGTCTTCTAAAAGGTCTAATATTCTTCTTCTGGAAAACACAAGAGTATTCTCATCCAACCCCAAGAAAAAATAATCATGGTCCACAAAAATTTTGAGAATCCTAAGAAATTCTTGCGCTAATGAAGTTATACTTAGTTGAGTGTTACGTTATAGGTTGCTCTCTTTGAGACACACTTGGTACCTCCAAGGTAAAAGAACCACTCCTTCACAGATAAGCAAAACCGAAGGGAGGAAGGAAGGGTGAAGAAAAAGTCATCCCCACAATACATCACAGAAGCAGTAACACCGTGTTTAGTATCACCAAAACCTAATAATATGTGAAGCGCTGTGCGTCCATATACTCATAAAGGTGTTCTGGGGTTAAATAGTTTAAGACAGAGCTGACTGTTATTTGGCATTCTCTTACAACTTTCATGTCAATATGAATTTAAACGTGTTTTAGAGACATGCTAACAAATGTAGTATAACTTTTTCTGTAAGATGCTGGCGTTTTGGGGGTTTGCTGTGCTTCAGTGTCTGCAGTGCGCAAGCTCACCAGCTTAGAGTATTAGAAGTCTTGTACGTGTGCAAGTAACCTCCACAGTAAAAATTACGGCAGAGCATCTACCCTAGGGTTTATACTGTTCAAGGGGTGGGAAACCATACCTGTTTGACAAGCCCTAAGGTAAGCAGATATTGTTGAAACTTTCACACACACGAGGATAATGAAAGTATGTTGCTTCCATTGCCTCATTCTTTAAAACATACCGCTGTCATACTTAATATATTTGTTCACACAAATAAATGCAGGTTTTTGGCCAGCGTCAAAACACTCCCCAAGTTTCCAACCTATTTAACCACCTCGAGAAATGATATTACAAGCTAGTGGCGGGTGAACAGCCAAGGGCAGGAGTACCCGCGCCAAACACGTTCACAGCGCTGCCTGCCACCACCCCTCCGTGCTCCCGGCACCGCCGGCAGCAGCGGGCGGCCCCCGCCGCCCCAGGGCCCCC